ATTATGCATCTATTAATGTGCAACAACATAAGAAGCAAAATATAGAAGTTTGAGATTAACCCAGGGTATAACGCCTTCTTTATATTTGGGGTGTTAATTTAATATTAAAAGTTATCAATACAGAGATGATGATAGTTGCAATAACTTCAGATGAGGTTTATCCTGGTTATGATTAATTTCTCTGTATTTTCACCACTACAGACTGTCATTTGATCCAACGATTGAAAGTTTTTTTTAACATTGTCTTAAAGGTCTATCAGTGCTTTTTTTGTGGTGAAAAAAAAAGTAAAATCACAAAAATACTGAACGAGGAGGAAAAGTCAAAACGGAAAGTCCCTAATCAAATGGCAAAATCAAAAGATAATGAGTAAATGCATTTTTTTTGGTTCTTCGTTAAAAAAAAAAGATGTCATTTAAATTAAAATTTCAGATTTATAATGAAATAATTTTCCTAAGACATTTAAATTAAAATTTAAGATTTCTAGTGAAATAATAATTTTCCTAAAATTTTTACATTTTCAAAGCATTGTAGTTGTCAGATTATAGAATAACATAGTACTTGAAATTGATTTAAACTCGTAGTCTAGTGCATGTAAAGTTCCAAAGCAAAACATTCTTTATCTTCAGAGTTTTGGTGTAGACTTAACAAATATCAAATGATCATTTCAGAAATACATTATGCTTGGAGCGCTGCATGTCTTTACTAACATATAACAAAGTTGTTTATTTGTGTTTAAGTAGTAGGGTTGGTTATATCTTCTGTTTGTTTCAGTTGTTCATTGGATGGTTCTTTGGTTTTGAGGTATTTAGGGTGTGGTGTTTACCATTGGAAGGAATCCATATATGTAATTCTGAAATGAAAAATATTTGATATTTCTAGTCATAAAAAAAATAATCAAATGTTTGAGCATAAAGCTGCTTTGAACTTTGAAAATGTACGATTTTCATACTTCTTTAATTAATTTCTTATTTTCAAAATTGAAAATGAATATCTTCAATCAAAATCAAAAATCTAAATTGTATTTGACATATTATGATGAAATGGAAAACTAGAAAACATATTCTCGTAATTCAGTTGAATTCAGGGGAAGTGGAAAATGATCCCAAAATTTTTTTAGATATACTTTATCTTCTTCAAAATTGTTTCTGGGTATCTACATCTTTAAAGCACTGATCGCTATTAAGATAATAAAGAAGTAAAAATACATTTTTATAACAGTCAAGCCATAACGAAAATTCTGCCATACAAAAAAGAATTTGGATGTTTAATCTACATTTATCATAGAGTTGTAAACATAATCGCAAAAGTTATTAATTCTTACATGACTGAAAGCTTGTACAAGTCTTAATATTTGGTGAACAATAATAAATTTCTATGATATATATATTATTATCACTATTCTACTGAATTTTCCTTTGATCTTACTGATAAATTCCTTTCTCAGCATAGTAGAAAGATATGGAAAGTATCTCTAGAAACTAAGGCTGCACGTGCCATTGTCAATGTAAATTTCAACGTCGTCATAAGCAAAATAGCGATAAACAGATTATCATTGGTCATCTCAACGGAAAATCAATCTCGTTGAGATGACCAACAAATTTATAATGATTTCCAATACCCTCAAAACTTCATTTTGAGTTATCTGAAACTATCATCATCTCCAAGTGAAGAGTTATCTAACTTATAAATCCCGATATCTTACAGTAGTTATCTCCCTTTGCTTCAAGCTTCTCAACCTTGGGTTAATTTTCAACTATCACCTTCAACACTAGGTTTTCATCCCATTTAACAATTGCTCATCGTAATTTGTAAAATTAAATTGTCGAGTCTAAGCATTTCTTTGTAAAAATTTCCTGTTTAATAGAAAATTAATCTTTTTAACATCCCAAGCCATTCTGTGATCAATATATTAAAGGATAATTTTGTCCAGCTTCTTGAAGCAAATTTTTCTTTTTTGCAATCAAAAGTATTGACAGTGAGCAGGATCATTTCAAGATCACAAAAAAGGAGCTGAAAACTGGTCTATTTTATTCTATTTATCATGTGTACATGAAAAGGGGTAGATTGTACAACACAAAAATTTCAAATTTCAAATCATAAGTTTGTTGAAATATAGCTCATTTTATACAATTTAGATCTTTTATTGAAAAAGGTATTAGACTGATCTTAACACTATCATACCGTTTGAATTACAACATAAATTAATTTGCTCCTTGGTATCAAACCATTCTATCTTTTTCAAATTTGGTAATTACAATATAGGTGAAGCACTTGCCATCATAAAATACTTTAAAAAAATAAAATAAGTAAAACCAATTATCAATAACTGACTGCAGCTATTCTTCTTTGGATCCTTTATGAAACTCATGGCCAGACAAAGAGTAATCTAAGAGCTTGACTCTTAATAGGGATCCAACTTTAGCCTCATTAGTTCAAAGGAGTTTTCCATTAGTCCATAATAATTAAGAAATAATTGTTGCAAGCCATACTTTATTGTAGTTTTAACATGGGTAGGCATTATTTACGTTATTATTTTAGCCTGAGCGATAGCTTACAATCAGTTCTGATAACCAAGCAGTTTTAGATTTATATTAGACCCTGTTTCACACTTTGGGGATTTAATCACTAAAAAAGTGAAAGATAACCAGACTATTTTAGATTTAACTGGTAATCTCTTTTCTTTTCCCGGTAGCAAAAAAGAGCTGATTCCTGTAAGTCTGTATATTGGCTGTTTCTGGTTCTTAGATATAAGAAGATGTGGTATGAGTGCCAATGAGACAACTCTCCATCCAAGTCAAAATTTATAAAAGTAAACCATTATAGGTCACAGTACGGTCTTCAACACGGAGCCTTGGCTCACACCGAACAGTCATTATAATCCATTTAAGGAACCAATGATTCCGGAGAGTGCAGTAACCTTGCCTCAGTCCATTATTGTCAAGATATCAATGATTTTCCTTTTTTTCTGACAAAAGTCATTGGAAGTAATCTTACATAAAACAAATTTTGATATAACCAATCAAAAATGCTATCATAAATAATCTGGGAACAAAAAATTTTACTTTTTCAATTGTAAATTTTGCTACTATTTTTTTTTCAAGTATAAAACAAAAGTAAAAAGTAAAAATCTATTTTATTGAAGTATTACGTGCCATTTGAGTTTTGTCATTATAAAGTATTGAAATTAATTTTTATTATAAAGAATCAGTATTTATATCATTTCTTTGAGTTCTTAATTTTTTCTTTCTAAATTTTTTTATTAAATCTAAAGATTTCATACTTGATACACGTAACAACATTTTGCATCATATTTGTATTTTTTCATTTCAGCTTCTTTATCTTGTACCACTGAAACTTCACAGAATAATTGCGTACATTTTGAAGTTGTGTACCTGCTTATATGAAATTGTTTGAGGAATTTCCCCCCATTTTTCCCTTAATTCTGATCTTGATGATTGTTTTCCAAAATTTTCAAAGATGGTACTGATTTTGTGTAATCAACTGCTGCAGTTTTCAATCGCAATCTTTTTAACTTCACACAATGATTGTACAAATATTTAAGTTGTCCACTTGGTACTATGGAATTGTTTGATAATTTTTTTCCTGACTTGGGAACTAAGTAATTTTTCATCAAAGGTAAAATAAATAGTTTTTAACCCATATCTTTTGGAATTCACAGAGAGTTTGCAAATCTATAGAGGCTTTTACAAATTTTGGGACTATACATGACTACTATGTACATGAGTAGTAAACCTTGAAAATGAGATATTTTTGATTAAACTATGCTTCAAAATATTTTTAAAATGTTGATTTATATGTGTTTATTATACTATTACTACACTGTACTTTTTTTCTTACTACACTGTACTTTTTTTCTTACATTTGTAGAAGTATTTTCATATCAGATGTCTGGTTACTTATATAAAAGCTATTATCTAGAGCTCTGTAAATAAAAAAAAATGTAAACATAGTTCTAAAATACACTTTTAATGAGTGGAAGAAATTGTGGGGTACAGAATACATTTTGTAAATTATCAAAATACAAGTTACCTGTTTAAAAGCATGTCTGGTATTTTTACAGTACTTTTTAAATGAATTTAATAAATTATTTGTATTTTAAATTGAGAATTTCTTCAGTTTCCATGATTGGAAAAATAATGTGAGATGCCTTGGAACATTCTGGTGACTATTGTACATTTTATAATGTACAATGGAAAGGACATTTCATTACTTAGATAAAATGGATTCAGTGGACTGATTAGCATAAAAAACTATGATGGAAAACCTTTGAAAGCAGCCAGGATAACAGCTCCAAGGAAGATGGTCAAATAAATCTTCAACCAAGTCTGAGGCTTAACCAAGAAATTAAGAAGGCAAGTTTATTTAAGCCAAATATTTGTATACATTTTCTAGAAATATTCGACAAGAAGTGCATATTAAGACAACATGCCAGCACCCTTAGCTTCTGATCTTCTGCATGCAAAACACCATTGATGTATTAATTTTAATAAGTTTTATAATTTAAGTTACCATTTTCTTGAACAAGATTTTCGATCAAAATATTTAAAACTTCAAGGGGAGACAAGTACAATTAACAGCAAGATTTGTTCATTCAATGGGATATAACTGTTAAATTTGCACATCACTTTTGTGCAGTTAAATTCCAAACAAAAACCTTTGACTTGTTTTATTTTTATTATGTCAAGTTTTCTGTTTAGTCAGGCTAATAGTTACTCCTTGCTATAGATCAATGACATTTTGTATTTATTTGCATTACTAACAAATTATCGAATTAATTAGCAATGTTGCTAATCATCAGATGTTTTTCATTTTCCGCTGCTAGGCGAGACATATCTGTCAACAGTTTATCTTACAAACTTGTGTTGATACTATTGTGTACATTTTGTAAGAAATCAGAACATTATATAGTGACTTCATATTTATAGAGAAATGGATTTGTAAAATATATAATGTGTCTTTTTTAATTCTTTTTAGGTTCTTCTGTGATATGTTTTCATGGTGTGGGAATGAGACTTGGTGGTCTAATACAGCTAATACGAAGGTATGTACCAGTATGTTTAGTCCTGTTTTGAAAAAAGAAAAAGTATTATAAAATGTATTTGGAAATAGCATGTGCTCTAAGCGTGAAGGTTTGTAGGAGTTTGATAAGAAGTCTTTGCTTTCTTTAATTGCCTTTAAAGGAGTAAATTTAATTATCTGATTTGATTATGTAAAAGTTTGTTGGGATGCTGGTTTGCTGTTCTCAACTTCTATTACATATTTATAGACTTTTATTTAATTTGCCACTGGACATTTAGCAACCAACAATCAAATAAATCAATCATTCAAAATATGGAATATACATACAGTATATCAACAATGATCCTTTTAAACAATCTTGAATGACTAATCATTTTATTTTTCAGGTTAGCATCACAGCTTGTCTGTAAAGATTGAAGCTGGGAGTGGGCATTGGAGCTGACTTTTATGGTAAGAACCAATACAAAAAAAAAACAATATGTAAAAAAAGAAATATGTTAGACATCTACCATTGACTTGTATTTCATCCTTTTCTGCTAATAACGACTGGTAGTTCAAAAAATATATCAGCAAATCACTTTTAAACAAAGTAAGAGAAATGTTTTATGAATCATGATTATAATGACCAGTTATTTATTATTTTGCATTTCATATTGTTTCAATTTTCAGATTTTGACAATTACGTTTAATTCTGTATATTTCTTTTTCAGGTAACTGTGGCTGCATAAAAGGGCTATGTGATTTTACTGTAACAGTAAAGAATGTAATTCAGACTATTTTTGTGTATGTTTGAGAAAATGTTTATTATAATTTTTACAAAAAGAAAAAAAAAATTATGTACAGGTTCTCCATTTTCAACAAGATTGGAAGTTGTAGGTTAATAGGTCTTTGAAATTTCAAAAATTACTTTCTATTTTCTGTTCATACTCATGTCTAGGCAAAACACTTCCAGTAGTTTAAGAATGGAGAATCTAAAAAAAAAGAAAAGAAAAAAATGTTCAATTATTGAAATGTTTTTTTATTTTTGCAAATTGTAATATATTTTTTCACCTTTGTGTAATTTTTAGCTGAGTTTATAACAAAGGGTATATTATTTTAAGAATATTTTACAAGAAGCATAGTTGAAGAATATCTTGATGAAAGTAGATTGATTGATTTTTGGTATTTAACACCACTTTCAGCATGATTTGCTATATCTTGGCTGCTAGTTTTTATTTGTGGAGACAGCCTGGTGAAAACATCCCCTTCAACAGAGAAACTGGCAACTCTAGTCAATTAAGATTGACGTTAAACACACCTACAATGTGAGGGTTCAGAGTGTTGACAGGCTAGTGATACAGTAGTTGAACTACTTTGACCATTCAGCCACCATTACTCCATCCACACTAAATATGTTATTGAAATGTGTTGAATTTTTGTAATTTAATAATTTTTTTATTTTGATTACCGGTATACTATTTATGTTTTTTTGTTATATATAACAAAGATGTGGAGTTCTAACGGTGAAATTTAGGTCAAAGGGAGGTAATTTATTATACTGTGTTTAACTTCAAATACTTGAAATTCCCTCAATGTTAGATTTTTATTTACTTGGATACTCACATTTTTACATATCAGATGTTTTCTAGATAAATAGAAATTTAGGGTGGGAAAAATTATGTCACTTAAAATAATTACGTGAAATTTTTCAAAAAGTTTATTAATTGAAAGTGCATCTGATATTTTTTATGTATGTTACTTTATTTTCTAAAAAAAAATGGAAACAACATAGATTGACAATAAGATATTGAGAAGAACCACCTTGTCAGCCAGGATAGCAGCTCTTAGGAAGATGGTCAATTAAATCTTCAACCAAGTCTGACTCTTTACCATGAAAATAGAAAAGGCAAGTTTATTTTAGCCAGATCTTTTAAGATAACAGACCCTTCTGAAATATTGCATTTAAAACACCATTGATGAATTAATTTACCAGTTTAGAATTTAAAGATACAAGATACATGAACAAGATTTTCTATTAAAATATCAATAGTAAATCCTAAAAATAGTCATTAAACTTCAAGAAAAGACCAGTACAATTTAAAACACGATTTTGCATTCAATGGGAGATAACTTTGTAAAATATTCAGATATTTTTTGTGCAGTTAAATTTAAATCTTGACGTTTTTTTACTTTCTATCTTTTAAATTGATTTAAAAAAAAATGATTTTATACAATTGTCTACCTGCAATAAGAAATCAGAACAAATTATTTAGTAAATTTTAGGTTATCGGTAACACATGAATTGATTTACAAAATGTATAATGTGTTGATTATAATTTCATTTCAGGTTCTTTCTGAGACATGTTTTCATGGTGTGGGAATAAGACTTGGTGGTCTTATACAGCTAATACAAAGGTATGTACCAGTATGTTAGTCCTGTTTTGGAAAACTCAAATGTATTATAAATATTTTATGGAAAAACAAGATTTGAATGCTTAAAAGATTTTTTACAGGAATCTACTCTTATTATTATATCAGTAACCAAATAAGAGTAAAGTTAAGGATCTGAGTTGTTTACATAAAAATGTGTTGGCTTGTAAGATTGCTGTCTCATCCATATGTTCTTGACATATATAACACATTTTAAGACTATTTCTATTTAATGATTTGCCACTGGACCTTAAGCAACCAACAGCCAATCATTCAATCTATTCAATATACATACATAATACCAACAAAGAACCTTTTAAACAGTTTTTAATGAATTATCATTTTATATTTCAGGTTAGCATCACAGCTTGTCTGTAAGGATTGAAGCTGGGAGTGGGCATTGGAGCTGACTTTTATGGTAAGAATCAATACATAGATTTATGAACTTTTCATCCAAGAGCATTTTAAAGCCCAAGATTTTTGTTAGGCACAGATGTAAATCTTACATATTAATGTCTTCTTTACTTATAGTTGAATAAACAATTTAGGAGGAGATATAAAGATATATAAGGGAAGTCAAAAAGTATAATGTATAATGCGAAATCTTGGGATTTCAGTTTTTTTGTTATCTATAGTTGTCCCCATATATTAAAATATGTAAGTGTGGTATGTATGCCAATGAGACAGCTATCAACCAGAGACCAAATGATGTGGATGCAACTAAATGTCACCCTATGCCTTCAACAATGAGCAAAACCTATATTGTATAGTTAGCTATAAAGGTTCAACATGACTAAATGTTAAAAAATTCAATCAAGTATGTTAATAGCCTGATATACTATAAAATAGTGTAATCAAATCGTACAGTTTTGACTAACCGGTTACTCAGGTAATCGTTCGACCGATTAACTGGTTAACCGGTAGTTTAAGTTGATGCTTGAAGGTCTTAACTATATATATATATATACCCTACAAATGTATGTTTTTATAATACGATAAAATTGAAGTTGGCATTATAAGACTTGTCTGTGAGGATTGTTGGCGAAGTTTGACTTTAGATAATCCAATACACCGTATCAACTAGGGCGTTTGTACTAACTTCATATTGAAAAATAAAAAACCTATTTGATCTCGTCGAATTGAAAATGTCTGAAACCGATAATTCTTTCATTTTATACGACCGCAAAAAAATTTTTGTGGTCGTATATTGGTATGACGTTGGCGTCGTCGTTGTCGTCGTCCGAAGACACATTGGTTTTCGCACTCTAACTTTAGTTTAAGTGAATGGATCTCTATGAAATTTTACCACAAGGTTCAATATCACAAAAGAAAGGTTGGGATTGATTTTGGGGGTTATGGTACCAACAGTAAAGGAATAAGGGGCCAAAAAGGGGCCAAAAATAAGCATTTTTGTAACTTCCAGACATAACTTGTGTGTTAGTGTATGGATCTCTCTGACATTGTACCACAAGGTTCCATATCACAAAAGGAATGCTGGGATTGATTTTGGGGGTAATTGCCTCAAAATTTTAGGATTTAGGGGCCAAAAAGGGGCAAAAAACAAGCATTTTTCTAGTTTCATGACAATAACTTGTGTGTAAGTGTATGGATCTTTCTGATATTGTACTACAAGGTTCCATATCACAAAGGGAAAGCTGGAATTGAGTTTGGGGGTAATTGCCGAAAAGTTTAGGAATTGGGGGCCAAAAAGGGGCCAAAAATAAGCATTTTTCTAGTTTCCAGACAATAACTTGTGTTCAAGTATATGGATCTCTCTGAAATTGTACTGCAAGGTACCATACCACAAAGGGAAGGCTGGGATTGATGATGGGGGTAATTGCCTCAATATTTTAGGAATTAGGGGCCAAAAAGGGGCAAAAAACAAGCATTTTTCTAGTTTCAGGACAATAACTTGTGTGTAAGTGTATGGATCTTTCTGAAATTGTACTACAAGGTTCCATATCACAAAGGGAAAGCTGGGTTTGAGTTTGGGGGTAATTGCCCTAAACGTTTAGGAATTTGGGGCCAAAAAGTGGCCAAAAAACACATTTTTCTAGTTTCCAGACAATTACTTGTGTTCAAGTGTATGGATCTCTCTGAAATTGTACTGCAAGGTACCATACCACAAAGGGAAGGCTGGAATTGAGTTTGGGGGTGATGAATCATAAGGGGGTTCAAAACATTTGGGGGGGGGATTTTTTTTTTTTTTTCATTTTTTTTTCTTTTAAAATTTTCCATTTTAAGTTGGTTATTTCTGATTTATATTTAAAAGCAAATAATAATGATATGGTAGGAGATACACACCAAACAGGATGTGTAAATTATTATATAATAAGTATTGTGCAATAACAAGAAATTTTCAATTGCACAGTATTGCACAATAACAAGAAATCTTCAATTGCACAGTATTGCGCAATAGCAAGAAATATCCAATAGCACAATATTGCGCAATAGCAAGAAATTGTCAATTGTACAGTATTGCGCAATAGCAAGAAATATTTAATTGCACAGTATTGTGCAAAAGAAGATACTTCGTATAAATTGCGTATTTCTTGACCAATTTCAATGGGGTTTTATTCTTGAATTCTTGGGGTTCTTTAATATGCTGAATCTAACCGTGTATTTAGTTTTTGGATTTTGGGCCCCGTTTTTAAATTGGTCCACATTGAGGTCCAAAGGGTCCAAAATTAAACTTTGTTTGATTTCATCAAAAATTGATTTATTGGGGTTCTTTGATATGCCGAATCTAACCGTGTATTTAGATTCTTAATTTTTGGTTCCGTTTTCAAATTGGTCTACATGCATTAAGGTCCAAAGGGTCCAAAATTAAACTTAGTTTGATTTTAACAAAAATTGAATTCTTAGGGTTCTTTGATATGCTGAATCTAAACATGTATTTAGATTTTTGATAATGGGCCCAGTTTTCAAGTTGGTCCAAATCGGGGTCCAAAATTAAACTTTGTTTGATTTCAACAAAAATTGAATATATGGGGTTCTTTGATATGCTGAATCTAAACATGTATTTAGATTTTTGATTTTTGGGCCCTGTTATCAGCTTTGTCCACATTGAGGTCAAAAGGGTCCAAAATTAAACTTTGTTTGATTTCATCAAAAATTGAATTCTTGAGGTTCTTTGATATGCTGAATCCAACCATGTATTTAGATTTTGGATATTGGACCATAATAGGTGAATGTCCAATTTAAAATTTTTAAGTTCTTAGACCACTTTCATTCTGTGTTAGAAACCTATGCTGTGTCAAATATTTAATCACAATCCAAATGCAAAGCTGTATCAAGCTTGAATGTTGTGTCCATACTTGCCCCAACTGTTCAGGGTTCGACCTCTGCGGTCGTATCAAGCTGCGCCCTGCGGAGCATTTTATTTCTTGATGATTAAGAAAATAATGTGGGGTGTTTAAATTTGAAATAATTAAGCCTGTTACTCGTAGCATCAAGTATACATTAATTACATTCACGTTGATTTGCATTTCACAATTTTTGAGTTGGTATTTCATTTAAAGTATGACACATTCAGATGTAGGTCTACGCAATATCAAATCAAAAATAAAATAATGGAGTAAATCGTAAAACTTAATCGGATTACTGATTAAAAGTTAATTTTAAAAAAACATGTATGCTAATTATGTTTCATTAAGATCTTGCCCCGAGGTGATAGACAACTTGTCTAAATCTAATTAATATGATGTTTTTAGGATTATAATTTCAATCAATATACTGGACAATTGATCTGTCAATTAATTACGACGACGATAATTTGTTAAATAGAACAAAATTATTTAATGATTTCAATACTCATTTATATCAAATCTATTAAAATTGAAATAAGCCTGGTTAACCGGTTAGCGTTTTTGGTATTCAGTATTCGGTACTTCCTATGGTTAACCGGTTAACCGTTGACAACACTACTATAAAACAATGTTAAAAAGATATTTGTCAAAAACCCAGCCAATGACTTGTTTTTCATCCTTTTCTTGCTAAGAAATACTGGTACTTTAAAATTTATGTCAACAAATCACTTTATAACAAAGAAAAAGAAATGTTCTATATCGGAATTAACACATTTATTCTAAAACCAGTTGTTGGCATGACACGGGTTATGTTCTTCTCATATATTTTATGACGGTATAATACTAAACCCCTAACAGGAGGGATTGTGCCTGATATTCATATGATGAAGACATAATCTTTCAATCAGTTTAATTGAGGTCTGGAGCTGGCATGTCAGTAACTGCTAGTAGTCTGTTGTTATTTATGTATTATTGTCATTTTGTTTATTTTCTTTTGTTTCCTATTCTGACATCGGACTCGGAGTTAATCTCTTATACTGAGTTTTACTGTGCGTACTGTTGTGCGTTTGTTTTTTCTACATTGGCTAGAGGTATAGGGGGAGGGTTGAGATCTCAAAAAACATGTTTAACCCCACCGCATTTTTGCGCCTGTCCCAAGTCAGGAGCCTCTGGCCTTTGTTAGTCTTGTATCATTTTTAATTTTAGTTTCCTGTGTATAATTTGGAGTTTAGTATGACGTCCATTATCACTGAACTAGTATACTTATTTGTTTAGGGGCCAGCTGAAGGACGCTTCCGGGTGCGGGAGTTTCTCGCTGCATTGAAGACCCATTGGTGGCCTTCGGCTGTTGTCTGCTCTATGGTCGCGTTGTTGTCTCTTTGACACATTCCCCATTTCTATTCTCAATTTTATACATTATAATTGTAATGCTCAGTTAATTATAATTGTTTTGCATTAAATATTATTTCAATGTTCATGACTAATGTATATTTCTTTTTCAGATAACTGTGGCTGCATAAAATGGTTGTGTGATATAACTGCAACAGTAAAGAATGTAATTCAGACTATTTTTGTGTATGCTTGTGAAAATGTTTATAATTTTTTTATGTAAAGATTCTCCATTTTCAACAAGATTGGAAGTTGTAGGTTAACTTGTATTTGACATTACAAAAATTCTTTCTAATTTCTGTTTATACTCATGTCTAGTCAAAACACTTCCAGCAGTTTAAGAATGGAGAATCTAAAAAAAAAAAAAAGAAAAAGAAAAAGAAAAAATTTTTAAAAAAATGTTCAATTATTGAAATATATTTTATTTTGCAAAATTGTAATGTATATATTTTTGCCATCTTTTTGTTATTTTAGGATTTGAGATACTTTCACATTTTACAAGTTACTTTTTACATGTAGTTAATCTGCCGATGTGAATATTCCCACTAAATTTCTTAGCAAAAATTTTACTTATTTTTGGTATTTTTAGCAACGTTTCAAAATACCTTTCCATAGCAAATGCCTCTCTAGTGTAAACTAAAAAGATGAATAATGGTCTGCAGTAAATATATCCCCTTACAACCTTTTCTTTCATGCTAATTTTAATATCTTTAAGATATGTGACAAGGGTGCTCTAATGCAGAGGAATTTACGAAGTTAAGAAGTTAGAAATATATTTTTTGCACTTTTTTTGTCATTTTTAGCTGATTTTGGTTTGTAACCGAGGTGATATTTTTTAAAGAATAATTTTACAAAAGGCATAGTTAAAGAACATCTTGTTGAAATTGGATTGGTTGGTTTTTGGTGTTAAACACCACTTTAACATGATTAACTATAATTTTGGCTGTAAATTTTTATTTGTGGAGACAGCCAGAGTGCCTGGTGAAAACATCACCATCAGGGAAACGGGCAAACCCTAGTCAAATTAAGAATGAAGTTACACATTTCATGTGAGGGTTCTCAGTGTTGACAGGCTAGTGATACAGTAGTTGAACTACTTATAGGACCACTCTGCCATCATAAGTCGATCAGTACGAAATATTTTATTGAAATGTGTTAGATTTTTGTTATCAATCTATTTTTTAATTTTAATTGTACTATTTTATTTATTTTGTTTAATATAACAAGGATGTGGAGTCCGAACAGGGTGAAATTTGGGTCAAAGGGAGGCAATTTATTATACCCCTGTTTAACTCCACATACTTGAAATTCCCTCAATGTTAGGATTTTCATCTAGTACTTGGATATTCATGTTTGTACATTTTTTTTTTAATATCAGATGTATACTAGCTAATATTGACTATTATTAAGAGATCTGTAATAAAAAAAAATAAATGTAAGCAGAGCTCTAGATAATAAGTATGCAGGGTGGGAGAAATCTTGGGTCATTAACAATTGATTTGCTGAAATTTTCAAGAAAGGGGATTTATTGGAAATGCATCTGATATAGTTAATGTATATAACTATATTTAAAAACAAAGATGTTAAGATGATGAGGAGAGCCACCTTGTCAGCCGGGAGAGCAGCTCTAAGGGAGATGGTCAATTTAATCTTCACCAAGTCTGAGGCTTTACCATAAAAAATATGTGGTAAGTTTATATATTCCACAAATTTTATGGTAATAATATTTATATAGGAATTTAACATTATTTTTTAAGGGTTCTTTTCTATCAGTGTTTGATTTTTAGAGTATCTAGTCTTACATTTGTTTTCTGTCTGGTATTGAGTGAGCTGTGTTGGATAGAAACCAACTGTATGCAAATTATTATCAATGAATTTGTAAACTTTTTGATTCGAACAAATTTTTATGCAAAGTCTGTTACTGTTTGAATATTGAATTGATATAGAATCATTTTCATAAAAGCATGGACAAGATGATTTCTTGGCGCTCTTATGTTATCTATAGACTGGTTCAGATGAGGTGAAAGTTTGTCTGTAACGCCCACTTGTCACATTGTACGTGTTATAGACATTCAAACTGGGGTCGCCAAAGGTTCTAAATGCCTACATCAAATAGTACGAATTACTAGCAGAGGACTAAACCTTGTGTGTTGATTTAAATGTTGAATAATTATTTTCTTTTTTTCTTCTCTTGTGCCTACATGTACTTTGCTCTTTTATTCTATTTAAATCCCTATTGGAAGGCCTCTGAGCATAAAATCACTGTTATCAATAGCCGATGGCAAACATGTTAAAGGTACTGTAAATTCAGAAATTATTGCGATTTTGTAATTGTCTTGCTTGACGGAGTCAAAAAGCGAGACATAGGTATGCTGTTTCTGTCGTCAACAATGTATTAGTTTGTGATTAGGTCTAGTTTATGGTGAACCACTAGTGGTATTTACAATAGTCAAAGTTATTGGGTATGCAGTTGTATAAGTATTGGCACATCTCATTACCATGGAGATTATTTGGCCCCATCCCCTCAGTTATGGTCTATTGACTTTGAAACTTTGCTTAGTTTTCATGTATAAGTTTGTGATTAGGTTAGTATATGAGGAACCACTAGTGGTAAGTTAATGATATTTGGTATGCAGTTGTATTAACATTGGCACATCTTATTTCCATGGAGATTATTTTACCCTGACCCTCAGTTAGGGTTTATTGACTTTGAAATTTTGCTTAGTTGACATGTATTAGTTTGTGTTTATGTTTGTTTAAAGGGAACTACTTATGATAAGTTGATGGTATTTGGTATGCAGTTGTATTAGCATTGGCACATCTCATTTCCATGGAGATTGTTTAGTCATGTACCTTCAATCATGGTTCATTGACTTTGAATATTTGCAAAACTAATACATGTTAGTGTTGCTATTTTAATTTCAACATTTGCATTATCGAAATTACAAAAAAAGCAAGACAATCTCTGTGATAACAGTTTATTTTAGACTGAAATGCGATTTTTATTTTTGTGATATTGAGAAAAATCCTGTTTAATTCATATAAAAAATTTCAAAATGCTAGTTGAGTTATTGCCAATACAACCATGTTGCATTTTTTGCAATTATAAAGACATTGCAATAGTTTCTGAATTTACAGTAATTGAGTTAGTATTATTACCAACATAAGTATTGGGGTTGTCTACGCTGTTATGAAAATGATTTTAAGAACCATCAAAAGAGAACAAAACCATCCGATTTTGTAATTGAATGTTCCAAAATCATTGTCTTATACATATACGTGCACTTGCACAAGGTCAATTTCTATCTCTAGCAGCTTAAGTTTATATAGTGAAGATGATAATGTATAACAGGTTTTAATAAATGAAACATAGCATTATTTTGTTAGTCTTCTTAGAGACAGATTGATCTGTAAAACAAGTAATTATTTTTTTATTTTTTTTCATTTTTAGGTTGTTATAATGATGATGTTTTCATGGTGTTGGGAGTAAGACTTGGATGTCTGATATTGTTAACATGTTGGTAGGTAATCAAGCATTTTTTTAGTAATATAATATTTGAAATCAATTTCATAAGGTTCTTTAGTACCAAAAAAATAATTTTACTCTGATGAGATACCAGTTGAATTGTTTTGGTAAATATAAATCTATGAGTTTATAATTCAGAATACCAAATATTTTGTCCATGATTTTTTGTTATCCTAGTGCAATTTTAAATTTAGTACATGTGTAATAATTTTTTTTAGGAAAGTTTAGTATAACTGACTACTTTTATATTCCAGGTTAGCATCAGGTTTCCATTGGGTTACTTGCTGGGATAAAGCTGTTATAAGGTGAGAACTTATTCATCAACATACAACTTTAATGTGTTTATGTTATAGTGTGATGAATGTCACTAAATAGATTTCAAAATTTTTATTTTTTTTTAATTTACAATTAAAAAAAATCAGTATTCAATCTTTTCATTTAAAAATAATGTACCCTTTAAAGCAGATACTAGATCTGAAGAAGATATATGAAGGGGAGATAACAATAAAATCTGATTAAGAGATAAGGGGAGATAACCTAATAAAATGATAACCTAATAATTTATAATTAGGATAAAACTAGTGAGGTCATCAAAAAAGATGTATGATTATCTTTTCATTTAGTCTTTGTTTTTTTATTACTAATTTCAAAAGAATTTATTCCTAAATTTTATCTGGGAGAAACTAATTTTGGAGTAAGTGTCCATAAAATAGCAGAAAAAACCAAAATAGACATTAATTTTATGTTTGTCTCATGTGAATTTAGAATTTATAAAGTAAGCATTAGCTGCTAAATTTGTTCAAAATGATTGTTCAGACATTTTGGTTCAGTTGTAAAGTCCTGACAAATGTACTTTAATGCATCAAGGTTTATCATTTTTACAATCACTGCATATTTTTGATACTATATATTTTTAAGTAATCAATATAAGTAATAAACAAAATTATTTAAAATACACTGATGTCTGTTTCTTTATTCCCATTAGACTATTTTAAAATTACGAATCAACAATTGAAATTTAACTTTGTTTCTTTTTCAGTCGAAAGAGTTGCTGTTGCTGCCTTCCTTGTATGGTAAAATCCTCAGACTGCAATCCTGCAAACCATTGGATAAACTGTTGCTATCTTTTGTAAAAAAATCAGCAGATATTTGTCTTATAAGCAGAGTGAATTATAATTGCAATTAATTTTTAATGCTTTGTTATTCAAATTATAAATATTTATTTCATTATTTTTACTTGCATTCAATTATTGTTTTGTGATTGAAGAAATATAAGAAAAAAACTGTGAAATTATTGTTATTTGAGAGGTCCCAAAGGTATGATGTATGGTTTCACAAGATACCCATAAGACTTGCTTCAGTTTACATATATTTTTTAAGTTATGTACACTGGTTATGAATTATAAGTCCTTTGTGAAATGATTTTTTCTGGTTAGAAACCTATTAAGTAGGACTTTGATGGCCAAACACTAAAAGGGAATAAAACAAATCCCCCATTAAACAATTTAAGTACTGAGTTTTTGGTGCAATATGAACTAGAAATAAAAATGTTTAGTTAGATGGTTTGTTTTGACTCTGCATTCTTTACATTCATACAAATTAATGGCTGTCAGTTTTATTTATTGGTTTTGTTTATATATTATAAATGCATTATTCAGCATCTGAGACCACTCAAGTGAAAATAGTTACATAGTTTTTGCAGTTTGTCATATTTTCTCATTTTTGTGTGATTGATTTCTATATTTTTTCTCATTTATGATTATTTATATTTTAATGTTTGATTTTTGAGGCTTGTACTCAGCTTCTAAACAATTACCTCCCCACTCCACATGTATAACCAGGATCATGTAAAAGAAGTTTTGATTTTGAAGGATGGGTGGATAATTAAAAATGCAAGATTTTTTTAATGTGCTAGTTCATAATGTAAAAGTCTGCACAAGACATCTAACCCTACCTGAACACATTATTCTGACTTCCAGCTGACAAGTCTTTGCTCCTACTCCTAATTGCTGAATGCTTAGCAGGGGACATCAAATACCAATTTTCAATTCTTTGATATGACCCAGGGCAGGACCAAATCCCATGCCCATCTGCACTCATGTTGAGCATAAAAAGTTTATTAAAGAAGATTTGTATGTCTGTTTGTCCATCATCATCTCTTATCCACAGCTTATAAACTATTGGAAGGTTTTCATTTAAACTTTCAGATTATCTGTGTCTAATGGCGGTGTGTATTTTATTTTATTATAATGAAATTTTAGGGTTCTCAATTGTAATGAATGGACCTCCTAAGTATTTGAAAAAAGGGAAAGAAGCTTCTCATACCACCATTTTATCATGTGAAGGATAGGTTGGTTCAAATATATTTGTTTTTAATCATGTTTTTAGTAGTTGGATCTCATTATGACAAAATTTTAATGACTTAAATTCAAAATAAATTTGGGGTTCACAATGATATATATTACCACTGTAGCTTTAATGTAAATTTTATAAGGCTTTGCTATAACAAGATTTGTGTTTTATCTTGTTTTATCTGATTTTAGTGGTTTTTATGTGATTTTATTTGTTTTTACTGTCAAATCTTGTTATACCAAGTCTTAGTATGATTGAGTTTATATATTTTGATTATACATGCAATTCAAAATATAGATTTACATAATGAGATCAGACATTTATTATGCTTTTAACTCTTATTAGTGGATAAAATAGAAAAATGAATTGGTCGTTGAAGATTGACCAAATTACAAGATTTATAAATGCAGAATCTTGCTCTAACTAAATCTATGTTCTTATCAGCTGAACCAACCTATCCTTCAATATGAGTAATAAAATTTTGAAAGTTTAGGCAAAAACAATTCAACCCTTTAATTGTGATTGGAAGTTGTAGATGGATGAGCAAACAGGTGATATACTTGCTTACTATGGCACATTTCCTAAAGGATATGGACTATGGGTATGGGTTTTGCTCATGGTTGAAGGCTGTAGGTGACTGATAGTTGTTAAATTCTATGTCATTTGGTCTCTGGTGGAGAGTTGTCTCGTTGGCAATCATATCTCCTATTTTTATTTTATATGAAATAATTACTTATTACTTCCTGGGCAAAAAGTTCTGGTTCCAAGAAAATAATAAAAAAAAATACTTTTATCATACATGTATTGTTAAATAACTATCCTACTTTGATATAAAGAATTGACTTTGGTTAGAAATTGGGAGGAATTATAAAGAAACTCGATATACAATATAAGAGCTTGGGGTTATAAATGTTTAATGAAATGCAGTTAACTATTTCCTTGGTGATCTAATTATTTTTGCACAGATCACGATATTAGTTTATTTAAATAACCCAGTAAATAAATTGAGTACACCTCATAAATGAATTTGATTCATGTATTTTTATGCATTTTTTATCTTAGTATTTACCATTGTATTCCTTGTTATATTTGTAAATGCCTCTTCGTATGTGACAAACTGAGGATTCATATATTTTATGGAATTATATAAATTTATTTTAAGTTTGGTATTTAAAAGTATTGGAAAGCACCAAGTTTAATATTGAGCAAAAAAAAATATTCCTTTAAGACCTAAGGATATTAAAATTCAAGACATGTATCTCAGAACAGAATTGATTTTCTAAATTCTATTTAAACAGCTAGTCTGGGATTGATTGATTGTTGGTTGCTTAGCTAGTCTGGGAACTGGTATCAAGAAACTAAAAAGAATCCTCAGCTCTGTCAGTTATTTTGTATAATTGTAATATTTAACCAATGATACCTTACCCATGATGCAGATCCTTTTCCTCCTTTTACTTTTACTAAAAACTTATTATTATTACAATTTCTTTGGTATTTGTACACACTTGATGGAGCAGAATGGGTCTGGTTTCATTTGGATATTTTATATTATGATGCATGATAATGATATAAATAAATAGGTAAATAAAAATTTAATTGAGAAAACCTATCTTATACTTTATTTGAGTCTGAATGACAAATAAAGGGGGAAGAGGTTTCTGTGGTCAAGGGTAACACACAGCTGATTTATTGTATGGTATGGACGAAGTTGAAAAAGCAAGACTTCTTGGGCATACTTTTTCCATAAGCAACAGCTTCAACAATGTATTTGATTGTGATAAGTTCCAAGTTAAAGAAAACTAGTGGTAGGTCAATGATATTTGGTATGCAGTTATATAAGCATTGAAACATATTTCTAAGATTATTTTGCTTCTCTCCCTCAGTCATAGTCGACTTAAAACTTTTAATTAGTTTACATGTATAAGTTTGTGATTAGGTCAATTGAAAGGGAACTATAAGTGGTATGTCAATGATATTTGGTATACAGATGTATAAGCATTGACAAATCTCAGTTCCATAGAGATTGTTCAGCTCCAGCATCAGTCATGGTTTATTGACTGAATGTTTTGCATTATTTACATGTGATTTGTGATTAGATCAGTTTAAGATGAGTGACTAATATCTGATATTTGGTATGCAGTTGTATTGGCATTTGCAAGTCTCATTTTCATAGAGATTATTTGGTCCCACTTCCTTATCATGGTTCATGGACTTTGAAACTTTCACAGTTTAACAAGGAACCAATTGATAAGTCAATGGTGTTGGGTATGCAGTTTTATAAGCATTAGCATTTCCATGGTGTTTTTATTTTGCCCTGAAACGTCAGTCATGGTTCATTGCATAGATAACAGATGTCAATATTGCAAGTTAATTTCAACATTTGCATTATACCACCAAAAAACGCCAGACATCTCTCTGTGTCAACAGTTTATATTTCCATCTCTTGGTATCTTTCAACATCATGTTTTGAGTTTTAAATGTCTCAGAAACTTCTTTGCTAGTTTAAACAAGACTTGACACAAATGATACTTAGGAATTACATGACAGAAATGTTCATTGGACTTGCTAATTACCTGATTGGCTGCCAAGTCTTTAAATAGATCTAGAATTCTAAAATGATCTAGTTTATATAAAGGCTCATCAGATACAAAACACAGGGATACAGATCTAGCACTGGATGCTCCTGATATAAAACTTCATAATCCAGACTGAAGAAGAATAAGTTAATCCATATCTTGTATGCAGTTGCCTTATGGCCTGGTTTAATCTGGCATATGAACATTATCTTGATTCCATTTTTGAGGGTATGTGTACATTATTTGTTTTCAAATTAATTTGACAGTTTTTATGTGTAATAAGGACAATTAATTCTCTTATGGTTATTGCCTGTGATCTATTTCTCACATGAAGAGCTATATTTTGTATCACATTGCATGGATTGGGATAAGAAAAAGGTTTACGAAAAATTTGTTGAGTGGCTTATCCTGCACCATTTGGTCATCATTTAGGTTCCATGATTTGGTCTGTTCTCGGTCAGATTCTCTAGGTCAACAATGTATGGTGTACAGAATGATTGTAATGTGAATATGATTGTCTGATGAGATACATCTGACCTTGGATTTTTTTTTGAAGTGTGGTCAACATTAAGTTTTTATAGACTGCAAAACTTTTGCCATTTGATAATGGTGTGGATATGTCGTCATTGTGGTCTGTAGACATATGTTTTCCAGACAATAACTTGAGTATAAGTGTATAGATCTCAAAGAAATAAAACCACAAGGTCCCATACCACAAAAGGAAGGTATGAATTGAATTTGGGGTTATTGCCCTAACAGTTTAGGAATAAAGGTTAAAAAAAAGATTTTCCGGGGTTTCCAGACCATAACTTGAGAATAAATCCATGGATTTGTATGAAATTATTATACAAGATTTCAAACCAAAAAGGGAAAGTTGGAATTGATTTTGGTGATTATGGCCCAAACTGTTTATGAATTAGGAACCAAACAAACACCAATACCAATATAAATTATTTGTTTCTTGACCAATTTCAATTTCGATGAGAATCATGTATTCTTTGGGTTCTTTGATATGCTGAATCTGTTACCATGTTTGTGTATTTCTGTTTTCGAATTCGTTCACATTCAGGTCCAAATGGTCCAAAATTAATCTAAGTTTGATTTAAACCCAAAATTGAATTCTTTGGGGTTTTTTTATATAATGAAACTGTGTATTTAGATATTGGGCCCATTATCAAATGGTCCAAAATTAAACTTTGTTTGATTTAAACCAAAATTTTAATTATTGTGG